TAGGAGTGTTTTTTCTATTTCTGGGAAAAAAAAAAAGCCATTGAAATCTCAACAGGGATTGCACTGAATCTATAGATGGCTTTTGATGGTATTGACATTTTAACAATATTAATTCTTCCAACCCCTGAGCGCAGAATACTTTTCCATTTATTTGTGTCTTCTTCTACTTGTATCTTCTTCGATTTCTTTCATCAATGTCTTGTAGTTTTCAGAGTAGAGATCTTTCAACTCCTTGGGTAAATTTATTCCTAAGTATTTTATTGTTTTTGATGCTATTGTAAATGGGATCAATTTCTTTATTTCTTTTTCAGAAAATTTGTTGTTAGTATATAGAAATGCTACTGATTTTTGTATGTTAATTTTGTATTCTGCAACTTTACTGAATTCATTGATTAGTTCTAACAGTTTTTTGGGTGAGTCTGTAGGATTTTCTGTATATAAAATCTTGTCATGTGAAAATAGAGACAATTTTACTTCTTCCTTTACAATTCTGATGCCTTTTATTTCTTCTCTTGCCTGATTGCTGTAGCTATGACTTCCAGTACTATGTTGAATAGGAGTGGTGAGAGTGGGCACCGTTGTCTAGTTCTGGATCTTAGAGGAAAAGCTTCCAACCTTTCATCACTGAGTATGATGTTAGTTATGGGCTTGTCATATACGGCTTTATTATGTTGAGATATGTTTATTCTATGCCTAATTTGTTAATTGTTTTTATTGTGAAAGGATGTTGAATTTTGTCAAATGCTTTTTCTACATCTGTTGAGATAATCATATGATTTTCTTTCATTCATTTCATTCTGATGTATCATATTGATTCATTTGCATTATGTTCAAGTATGCTTGTGTCCCAGGAATAAATCCCACTTGATCATGGTGAATGATCCTTTTAGTGTGCTGCCGAATTCAGTTTACTAGTATTTTGTTGAGAATTTTTGCATCGATATTCATCAGGGATATTGGTCTGTAGTTTTCTTTTCTAGTAGCATCCTTATCTGGCTTTGGCATCAGGATAATGCTGACCTCATAAAATGAGTTTGGGAGTGTTCCCTCCTCTTCGATTTTTTGGAAGTTTGATAAGGATTGATGTTAATTCTCCTTTAAATGTTTGCTAAAATTCATCAATGAAGCCAGCTGGTCCTGGGTTTTTCTTCATTGGGAAATTTTTGATTACTGATTCAATCTCCTTACTACTAATTGGTCCATTCAGAGTTTCTTGTTCTTCCTGGTTTAGTCTTGATAGGTTATATGTTTCTAAGAATTTTTTTATTTCTTCTAGGTTGTCCGGTTTGTTGGTGTGTATTTGTTCATAGTAGCCTCTTATGATCCTTTGTATTTCTGTGTTATCAGTTGCAATGTTTCCTCTTTCATTTATAATTTTGTTGATTTAGGTCTCTCTCTTTTTTCCTTGGTTCGTCTAGCTAAAGGTTTGTTAATTTTGTTTATCTTTTCAAAGAACCAACTCTTAATTTGGTTAATCTTTTCTATTGTTTTTCCGTTCTCTATTCATTTATTTCTGCTCTAATCTTTATTATTTCCTTCCTTCTGCTAACTTTGGGCTCAGTTTGCTCTTCTTTTTCTAGTTCCTTAAGGCATAGGGTTAGGTTGTTGTCTTGACATGAGTACAGCCATGTTTGGCCGCTCCATTGACCTACAGCCACCAGCACAAAAAAGAAATACAAGGCTGCTTTCTGTGTGGTGGGAACTGGCCTTTTCCCGGGAACTGGCCTTTCTCCCACGGAGAAAGTTGCAAGTTGTAACATTTCAAGGCTCTTGGAGCGTCGTAGCCCGGAATGGACTGGCCATCTGTGC